AACATGCTTCAAACAAAACCAATTTGAGAAAATAAAAACTTTTGCGTGGTTCAGTTGCTGTTGTTCATTCAACCATTTCACATGTGCTGGATTGTCGGGATCGAACCTTAAGAATGGAGCTTTCTTTTGACTGCTTGCGACCGCATTCTCATTCAACTTTGTACTTCGTATAGTTCTCCCCAATACCTTCGATAAGATTTCGAATTCTGTTTTCTTTTCTTTCGCCAACTCCATGGCTTCACCATCTACCTTAAAATGGGAACGTTTTCTTACGATTATTCGAAATACACTTTGAAATAATCGCTTTTTCTAAAAACTCTCTGATTAGAACAATTTGTGACAAATCAAAATAATTCAGCAAGACATATCTCACTGCATCAAAGCAACACTTCTGCGCACTGAATCAAAAACTTCAGTGAACAAATAAAAGCACCACTAACTTCTTCCTCATTCGTCTTGTCTTCATCCAAAAATTTTTCGTTCATTCGGAATCGTTCGTCGTTTCCGAATTTCGCCTCCAGTGCCATCAGTTTTGCACCTTTCGGGCCGAAATGACGATTCTTGATCGACAGCTTCAAATCAAAGTATCAGCTAATTACTAACGTAATGTTGTGTGATCATGACCCAAAGACATACCTCTTGAAAAATTTTCAAAATTCGTCAAATTTGATACGAAAATAAAATGTGAACATCGTTTACCTCAACGTTATCTTCGTCAGCCTCATCTCCATCATTGTCGAATAATCGAATATTCGAGTTGTTTTGAGTGCTGGAGCTATTTTCAACTGGAGCCTGCAATATGCCATCAAAATTCCTGACTTTCACAACTCATTCTTTTCAGTCGTTCAATTATTTTCCGACTATCGATGAAAAACCATTCACATTTTAAGTATGACTGCTCAAATCGTTGATAAACAATGCCTCTAAAATGTAAAACAATCAAAAATTTCAGAAAAATGCCCGAAACCGTTGGAAAAAGGGTTCCTGGAATGTGACAAATCAATGAAATAGGTTGAACAAGAACTGGTATAAAAGAAAAAAATACCCGGGACGTTGTTTGATTTTCATCCTCTGAATCTGAATTGAAAACGATCTTCTTGGATTTGGATGCCGGTGAATCAACATTCTTCAGTGCTTCTGCTATCAGTGATTGACGTTGTTTTTCCAATTGTCGCTTCTTCACAAAACTCTCTTGTCTGTAACAAAAGAAACTATGAATTCTAACACTATACACTTAACAAATAAGCTAACTTCATCTGCAAAAAATATCAGAATAAC